CCCCCCCTTTCCGCACCGCGCACTCGACACGCGCACCCGCGCCCTCACTCACAGGGGCAGGCGCTCTCGCCCCACCACCAACACTCTCCGTTTCAGTTTCTTTATTTGTCATTTCATTTCAGCCAGTCGGGCGGGTGTTGAGCGCCCGGGAGGGAGGGAGGGGGGGCTGGCCCCTAACTCCACCCGGGTAGGCAAGCCGCCCGCATCCGTGCACGCGTAGCGAGAGTGTTGCCTGCCCAGCCGGGCGTTCTATCCCAGCAGAATCATCGGCATTGGCGGAGCGCTATCTTTGTGTGGAGTTCAGGGGGGCCCCATGCTGCCGCCGCCGCCCCGAGCAGCCGGGCGGGCGGGCCAGGAGACTCTTGGGGCCCCTGACCCGCCGACTCGGGCGACGCCTGCCAGACTTAAGATCTCTGGGGGGTGGCTGCGCGAGTCCGTCACTCACCGGGCCACACCACCCGTGACCCTTGCCGTGGCCGTGATCGCCGCTACCGGTCTCCGTCCTGTCCGTCCTGTCCGTCCTGTCCGTCCTGTCCGTCCGTCCGTCCGTCCGTCCGTCCGTCCGCTGTCTGTCTGTCTATCTGTCCGTCCGTCCCGTCCGTCCGTCTCCCTCTCGGAGGCCCGGCCGGGATCGGGCCGCTCCTTCATTACTGCACATTACCCGCGTTACCTCCCACTACTTGGCCCGGATGCTGATGGCGTCGTCGTCTGCTGGGAGCGAGGCTGGGAGGCTCCCAGCAGGGGACGCCCGCGCCGCCCCGATTCTCATCAACACAATCACTTTACACGCTCGTCTCGCCGTCAATAAACAACAGAAAAAAAAGCCCGCCTATTACTTTTTCCATCAGTGAAACTTGTTGTTTTGCAGCGGCCGGAATATGACGATCAAAATTTGCAAGGGTCTTCCACGATAGACTCGAGAACCCATTATCCGCGCGTTGTCCAGGCCAGACGAACATCAATTGTAGGTGGGGAAGGAGAGGAGAGGCCAGGTATAGCTCGACGCGTTGGTCAGACCTGGTCAGACGGGAAGAGGAGGGCGGCACACGACGCCCCGCCGCGCCCCTCACCGATCGATCGATTGGGTCGGGAGCGTCGACTAAGCACACTCCACGCACTCGCTGTGTATGGACGACGATAAAAGATGGACTAGGGCGCTAGTGGGGGAGTGGAGTCAGGGGGTGGGCCGGGCCTAGACCGGCAGCGTACACAACAGTTCCTCGGAATAGAATACTAAAATTTAATTTACTACCGCGTGTCTCGTTTTTCTTGGCCGCCTGTTTTTTTGTGTTTTGCCCACGGTCGAGCGCGAAGGGGTGGGATCGGGAACCGCTGCGCTCACATCCGGGCCAGGAAACGGAACTGGTCGGGGTGTTGTTTGTTCGGTCCACTGCGGAAAATAAAAGCCATCGGGGAAAAGTTGGCCGATGAGGTTTGGTATATCCAAAACAACGTAAACCGAACTGGAAACCGATACACGATTCCCGTCCCGGAAGAGCTCTTCAAAGATGCTTTGTTCTTTTGAATCGTGCGGCCGTTTCGCCCTGTAAGATTTGGAGTAATACCGTACTACCGTTAGCCCGAGCTTAGGTAGATACATCGGCGCTTAGTGAACCGCCGGCCCCTATGCTGTTTGTGCTGCGAATGCAGATCGGTATGTCATGTTGTTGACTATCCCCCGTCCGGCGGCCACGCGATCACGCCGACGCGGGCCCGCATCTCTCACACACAGGGGCAAACCAGACAGCTGTCATCGACATTATGACATGACGATCTAAATGAGAATATCCCCCATCTTCCACTTTCCGCAGGACAACACAAGCAGTGAATCCTATGCGCCTGATTCAGAGTTCAGACTCGTTTTAGATCGGTTCCTCTGCCCGAAGAAAATGTGTACTTCTTCAGACAAAATTGCGCTCAAAATCGGAAAGAGATGTTTTTCTTGATCCAAAGCGTTTGCAGAGCTCTGATCAGATGCCACTGTTTTTTTTCTGTTTTTTCTTTTATCTTTTTTTAAGTTTCCTGTCATCCCGAGGCGACCCAAACATTTCAGACATCCAGCTACTCACGTCGTCTAGGGGAACTGACGGGGCAGACGGGTCTTAAAGTACTCCAGTCTAGAGTGCAGCACGACACTATTTCTAATCAGGTTCGGTGAGAAATAATAAATGGAAGTTCCAATTATTTTCTTAATTTGGAACGGTGTATGTGCCTCGCGTTCTGCCCGACGGACTAGGGTTGCGAAATTACCGGTAACAATCAATGTTACCGTAAATTACGGTAAAAATCGCAATTTACCGGAAATTTTGGAAAAATTGGAAAATTTCAATTTGAAGCAGAACAATTGGCAATATACTATTTCTTGGCGATCGAAATTCGTGTGTACTGCCTAAAAAGTGAAAGAATAGCCGGTCTTAGCTATACTTATTGGAATATTTGTCTTTTTCATGTTGTTCTCATCAACATCAGTTGTATATAGAGTTACCAGAAGTACACCTTTAAAAATCGTTCTCAAGCTATGCCTTTTAAACTTCAAAATAATGACAAATTTGCTATCTGGTCTCTAAAAAGTGAAT